AACGCTGCCTAAGGCTTTTCTTGGCTAAAAAGTTCCTTTAAAATGGGTTCTGATGTGATCAATGTCTTCTCGAATCAAAATATAATTAATTTGACTCAAAACTGTGCATAAAACTGTGCATGTATTTGTGCATGTCACCAATATTGTATCCATGCAATCACTAACTTTAAAATCTGTGTTGGAGCATGTGATGCCCTTTTTATATGATTCAAGTGACCTCAGTAGCAAATTTCCCCCAAAATGGGTAGTCATTGGGTACCCTGAAAATGAGATCCCTCTCAGTTACTGTGGAATCTATATCCTGGCAATTGCAGGATTTCTCCCGTTTCTTATTTGAAGCTCTCATCTGCTTATTCTTGCGTCCAGGAAGTGGTTACAAGCCTTGGATTGCAAGTTGGTGTCCCTGATGTTTCATACACCTCTTCATGAAATGAGATCAACATAAAATCACATCAGCTGAAGATGCAACCTCTATCTGAGAAGTTTCAGAGAGAACTTTTCGCCATTGACAAACACTAGAGTATAACGAAGCTGGTTTCATCTTTGAACATCATTCTCCCTGCTGCTTATTATAGAAACACCATAAGGTTACAAGTTCCTAGAGAAAGATACATGTCGGCAAATACAAATGACTAAATTCAAACTCCCAATTGCGCCGGGCTTCCATCAGAAAATCCACCTTTGAGAATTCACATGATTAATGCAAACATTCCTGCAAAGACAAAGATATCGATGAGGAGAGCAGTATAAAATTTTGACTGCTAACAGAAAAATCAAGCTATACAACAGATGAATAATAACATTATCATCTCATCGAGAAAATCAATATCAGTACAGCTTACACAAGAAATTACTGTTATAAAGAAACTCCCAACTGAACACCCTGGATAATCTTAATGACGGATCAAAATCTGGTTGACATAAGTTTTAGAACTATAGTGTTTATGCCAGATTTGCTATAGTTTTCAATTTTCTACAGAACATCCAACCAATCGTTCTGGAAGCTAAACATTATCTAATTTAACAAACGAAAATATTATTACTCACAAATACAACTCTTACAAATTCAGCTAGAATGAGAAAGGATGTAAATCTCACAGTTAATGAGTAAGAACGTAAATCTCTACTTAATTTGACTGGACAAAGTTTTGTACGTGCCTTAACTTAGTAACTGATAAATATAGTTTAGGAGAAAAGAGATACTCTTCATTGATATTACACTATTTACGTACAATGTAAAGGAGAACTGTTCTAGAATCCTAACCGATGTAGGACTAAAGGACTACATATGTACAATATTTAACACCCCCTCAAACTGCAATGGGATCAGGTAGTTTGCCAAGAAGAAATAGATGTCGATGTGTGGTGTGATCCTTTGGTGAAGAGGTCTGCTAGTTAGAGATCAGTTTCACATAAGGAACGGTGATTGTGTGGTTGGGTGTAGAAGCGTTTGGGCGATTGCTCAATCCGCAAGTTCTACACATATATCTTTGACCTCTTGAAGCAGCTCACAGCCCTCAAATAACCCGTCTTCTCGGACCATCTATATTGATAGCAGATACCGTTGGTGCTTATTCCAGTTTATGATGAAGATTTGACCAGAGTCCGAGTCCGTTCGTACCAACTCATCCACAGGTCTCCCCGCCCTACTCTAGAGACTACTGTAGCTGAGCCACAGCCGAGGAGACACGCTCCAACTGACCGCTCTAATACGATAATAAATATAGATACCATGATAAATATAGAGCTTTTGGGAGAAAAGGGATATTCTTTTCATTGATATTGCAAGGTTGATATACAAGGTAAAGGAGAACTGTTCTAGTGTTCTAACCGAGGGACAAAAGGACCATATATGTAGGGGTGAGCACGGTTCGGTTCGGGTCGGTTTTTACCAAAATTTGAACAACCAAACCGAACCACCTAAAATTCAAAACCGAACCGAACCATTACAAATCGGTTCGGTGCGGTTCGGTTTGTTCGGTTCTAACTTCATCAAGTATAACTTCACTTCAATTTATCTTTTATATATTATTATTACCCTATGCCAGCATGTATTTGTTTTTTAACTTCACTTCAATTTATTATTCTTGCTCATGTATGTATACTGTTTTTAAGTGAAGTAACTTGTCCTTTTGGATTAAATTTGGATTAAATACTAGACTCTGACGTTGTAATTTTTTAGTAACGGACTTGCTTTGTCTTTGTGTAGCAAGCTTTGACTTTGGTCTTTGTGGAGACAAAAAAAGGAGCTGACTCATTAGAACATTGGTTATGTATGAATCAATTCCCTGCAACTGCTATTCATGGTGATCGAACACAGCAATAAACCCACAAATCAAAGGCACAAATATATTCGGTTGGTTCGGTTCGGGTCGGTTTGAAAAATTGTCAACCCGACCCGAACCGCCTTCCTCATAAAACCGCTTTTTTCGGGTCGGTTCGGGTCGGTTCGGTCGGTTTTTTCGGTTTGAACCGAACCGTGCTCACCCCTACATATATGTACAATATTTAACAATAACCATGTCAAGATGCAAATTCATTTAATTTATGCACTCATCTCCACCTTATCTCCAAGTTTCAGTGTGCATCCATCAACTTGTTTTCATCTTCATTATATCCTTTCTAGAATTTACATGCTTGCTCATCAACATTATCACATTATCCTGACATCCCGTCTCCTCTTTCACACGAGCATAACTGCTTCAATATCGAGAGAAACCACACAGAAAATGGAAAAGTAAAGTATACCTAAAGTCACTTCTTTTAGAAACAACTATTAACTGATAGCTTTACCTTGCTTTCAAGGTACTAATCTACTAACATTTGTTACTATAATGAACCTCACATCAGTTGACACTTGAGAATGTTAAGGCAGTGCACAATCCTAGTTTGATAACACTATTTCCAATATTGTAGAGATTATTGTACCTGATCTATTATCACACAGCTGAAACATGCTGTTATCTTAGTTAAAGTTATCATCTCAGACAAGCCCTTGTGATCATGTAGAGTTCCTTCTTCTACCTACTGCTCCACAAGTTGCTCTGTTATAACTGCATCTTCTTCAGCAGATTTACCTCATGTACCTTTTCTCATAATTACAACTCGCATATTGAGATTTACTTCTCATGCAAAAATGATCGCTATCACCATTTAACCTTAAAAAAGGGGACAGCTATTTCAAATGCTCAAATATGAGAAGGTTCCAGAAAAAGAAATTAGCAAGTTTGTCATGTCCTGGTATCAACTATAGCCAAACGTGAATGCATGCAGAAGAGAGCCTCTGTTAGCTCATAGGTGGACCTACCATTTGACGTGTGAGTTTGCATGCATTTACTCTAGTGTATAAACCGACATACTTGATTTTCCATGAAAGGGTTCTAAGATGTGCCAACCTCTATGAGCTTGTCGTTTCAAAAACGACATCCACCATTAAGAACGGGCTATCCATTTGTTATATTACAAATGACCGGAAATGCAATTCTCAGCTAATCCAAGCAGGGAAACCAAATTCAGCTGATCCTTAGGAAGAGCTTCACATTCATCAATATGCGACAATAGGTCAAAAAATTTTAAGGTTTGTTGGATCAAAGAATGAATGCGTCCAAATTATTGAAATCTATCCTTCGCGCAGATAATCAAGGAAATAAATAAATATCTGGGGGGGAAAAAGGTGAGCTAAAGAAAACCTAAAAAGCCAAATAACTTATGCAAGGAAGCCCTTGAAGCTCATCCAAACCCTTTTATTCCCAATCAGAACACCAACGTGAAAAACTAACACCAAAACTACATTGGTCAAATATACACCATTGTCAGCAACATTTGTCACATGATACCATTGGTCTAACTCCTAAATAACTTGAAATTTATCCCACATAACATAAAACCCAGAAACTACAAAATAAGATACTACTAAATAAGATATTACCTAGCCCGAAACCGATCATACTAAGAGAGCCTAAGGATACACTTAAGGCTATCTTTAAATGATTTTACACCCTTCATACAATCCTATCAATCGAAAATTAATTATGAATCCAACACTAACACTATCTTAACCAAATGAAAATCAACCTATCACTTGAATTTTCACCCCCAAAAACATATCAATATAACCTAAAATTTAAGTATAATCAAGCTCCCAGAAACTGTTAGGAAACAACTACAAGTTTAGTTCCCAGGGAAAAAAAACCCAAAAAAAGAAAAGAAAAGGAAACAAGTACATAGTATCACAAGTCAATAAAGGGTTAAAACTCTGATATCTTTAGAGCAAATAAAGTGGGTATTATGTCCAGTATGCTCTTTGTATGATCATTTCATATTAAAGTTCTCCAATCAAGAGCAAACCCATGACTTGATTATGAACACGATTACAGAAAATCCATTAGAAAAGGGAGGAATTCAACCTGCTGGGCCTCGGCCACGATGATCTAAGAAACATTCTTGGAGTTATGGAGAAAAGCAGCAGAGCAAAGGATTGAGGCAACAAAGGAAAAGATGCCCAGAACCAAAATCAGGGACATCCCTGCAACCATCACATCCATGAGCAGCTGGATCAAGGAGAAGCTCAGGCCCAGCATCTCTAGGCCCCTTTTTTATTTCTTGAGCAATTCAAATCAATAAACAACAATACAATAGAGATTGAGATTATTTACTTATTTATATAGAGGTTTGGAAGGGGATGCGATAGAGTTACAGATGGCCGGGCACAGTGAGCACAGCGTTGCATAAGGCGACACGGGAAAGGAGGAGCGTTGCCGGTGGGCGCATTTTTACACGTGCATACACCACATTAACCATATTTGCAAATGTACCCTCCTCGTATACATATTTTATAATTCACCCCCTAATGCTAACATATTAAGCTGAGCTACATTCCAAAGCTCCTGTTAAGAAATATTTCCAGGATATTTCTTATGTTTCCAATTGGTTGTTTAGGTCTCTGCCGAAATGACACTACAGGGTATTAAGTTTAAGGGCCTGTTTGGTTATTTCCTAAAAAACCAAAAAATAAAAATGAAAACTAAGAAATCTCAAAAAGTACAATTTCATACATTTCCATCCTTAAAACTCACCCACAACATCTAATATAATATTATTTTTATCCAACAACTCATCCATCACATCTAATAAAATATTATTTTCATCCAACAACTCATCCATCACATCCATCACATCTAATAAAATATTATTTTCATCCACAACATCACTCAACTCATCTCATCTTATATTTAAAATGAACTCACATCATCCAATAAGATTGTGACAACTCATCTCATCTCATTAACATTTCATTTCTTTGTTTTCCTCCCAAAAAGCTAGGAAAACAATAGAGATTGAGATTATTTACTTATTTATATAGAGGTTTGGAAGGGGATGCGATAGAGTTACAGATGGCCGGGCACAGTGAGCACAGCGTTGCATAAGGCGACACGGGAAAGGAGGAGCGTTGCCGGTGGGCGCATTTTTACACGTGCATACACCACATTAACCATATTTGCAAATGTACCCTCCTCGTATACATATTTTATAATTCACCCCCTAATGCTAACATATTAAGCTGAGCTACATTCCAAAGCTCCTGTTAAGAAATATTTCCAGGATATTTCTTATGTTTCCAATTGGTTGTTTAGGTCTCTGCCGAAATGACACTACAGGGTATTAAGTTTAAGGGCCTGTTTGGTTATTTCCTAAAAAACCAAAAAATAGAAATGAAAACTAAGAAATCTCAAAAAGTACAATTTCATACATTTCCATCCTTAAAACTCACCCACAACATCTAATATAATATTATTTTTATCCAACAACTCATCCATCACATCTAATAAAATATTATTTTCATCCAACAACTCATCCATCACATCCATCACATCTAATAAAATATTATTTTCATCCACAACATCACTCAACTCATCTCATCTTATATTTAAAATGAAAATGATTTAAGGACCCAAAATATGAGACCAATGGAGGGGACAGTTGAGGTGTCCCCTCCCTATTGCATAATGAGTTGGTCATGCCAACTCATGCCAACTTATTATGCAATACGGAGGGGACACCTCACCTGTCCCCTCCCTTGGCCCCATATTTTGGGTCCCCGTAGCAGCACTCTATTTAAAAATCACTCACATCATCCAATAAGATTGTGACAACTCATCTCATCTCATTAACATTTCATTTCTTTGTTTTCCTCCCAAAAAGCTAGGAAAACAATTTCTTTAAGTGTGAGTCACATTATCCAATAATATAATGACAACTCATCTCATCTCATCTATTTTCTTATTTTTAAGAAATAACCAAACAAAAAAAAAAACAACAACCTATTACAAGAAATATGTTTCTTATAATTCATTTTCTTATTTTTTTCCGTCAACCAAACAACATCAAAACAAGTTTTCTTAAAAAATCACTCACATCATCCTATAATAAGGTGACAACTCATCTCATCTCATCTCATCTCCATTTCTTTGATTTCCTTTTTTTTTAGCCAACCAAACAATCCCAAAACCTATTTTTCTTAGAAATAGGTTTCCTTTTCTTTGATTTCCCTTTTTTTAAGGCAAACAAACAGAAATCAACAATACCATAGGGCTTCCAAAAATAATTGTTAACAATTGTAACTAGTTCCTATGATATATGAAGAGGCATTGTACCATGAGGATTAATGTGGCTTTAATTGCGAGGCAACCTCCTCACACATGGCTAACACATGCATGGCAGACTATTTATCTTAGCGCAGAAAATCTCCCGATTCATTACAACTATGGGTAGTAAATGATGGAATCAAATCGAATACTAAAATGTTTGTATTTGTATTTGTTTAAAATTATCGAATTCGACCGCGTATTCTAATATTCATATATAGAGTTCTTCGAATTTGAACTCGAATACTTTGTATTTGATAAATATTCATGAATACTTATCGAATATCAAGCATATTGCGCTAAAGAATTTAATTTTCAAATAGTATTTAAATCTATAAATAAAAATTATTTCTTTATAATATATGATGTATATATATATATTTAAATTAAAATTTTTGTCAGAAAAAAATTAAGATTATTTATAAGTTTTAAAATCAGTACATAAAACTTAAGTAGAAATGGTAAGTGTGTTAAAAATATGACACAATACGTGCAATAATATAAATAATAACTGATCAAATTATAAACGAATATTTGATAGATAAACGAATCGAATACACATCTGGTTAAATTCTATTCATTAGTAAATTGGAATACTAAAAAATATTTGTCTTGTGGTAAATAAACTACCGAATCGAATATGAGCAAATAGTTACTTGAACAATTATCAAAGTATGTGTAAATTACTCGGTTCATTTCGACTCCTAGTTACGACAATTATTCTAGTTATGACTTTAGATCACACTATCAAGTTACTGATTGTGACATGATGAATGAGAACGAATCTCATGTTGCTTTCTTGCCGGTATTATTATCATCATTAATCCAATTCCCGTCACCATATATGTCTTCAGTTTCTCCTTCATCTAGATAGCACGTGATCTGTTTGTAGAAAGGCCCAGCTTAATTTTCCTCCGCATTTATGACCTCACTTCTCTTTAACACATCATGTCGCATCTTCATTTGTTTAATGTATGAAGCAACTAATTAACAACTGATCAAGAATTACTTGCTTGCTTGTTCCATAGATTGAGAACCATTCATCACATGCTCGTTATCAGCTGTAGACTGAAACGGCAGCAGAAGCCTCCACCATTATAGGGCTAGCCGCCTCGTACGTTTGGTACGAATACCAACTCAAACAGCCATGAGGACAAGCTACTGTCCAAATTCCCCTTCTTGTTATCGTTACTGTATATTTCTCCTCCTGGTTCGTCTTCCAGAAGAAACATTGATATCGGCCTCACATTCACCTTCGTCCCCGATGGGGCCTTTATCCAAGCATTGTAAGCCGTTCCTAGTTCTCTGACGTGAGTCGCTGTATATGTTACGGTCACCGATGCTATATCATCCATGATCACCATCAACGAAGGATAGTTTAAATCCACGCCTGAAATAGAAACGATATTAGAACACTTGACAGTCCGGTGAGCAATTGCGCTTGCCTGACTATCTGAGTGGTTAGTCCACAGAGGTACGAGACGATGTTGTATTTTACCCCAGGTGATCCGATATCGGACGGCAATGATGCAAGAATGTTGACACCGGGTCCGATGATATCGGGCTTAAGAATGCTCGGATCCACTTGATTCGGCCCTCTCGAGGAGGAGGAGCTAGGCTGCTACGGGAGCTGGCACGGTGTGTTTCCTATAAGGGAACCGTGGAAAGAGATTGATGCCGTTGGTGTCGTAGTTGATTTGGTGTACAATTTGATTACCGATCCGTCTAAGTAGCTTACGTAAGACGTAGGAAGAACAAGCACATCGGCGAGAGCAGTGTATCCTTGTCTTACTTCTGTTCGTCGGGATCATGGAAGCTCACCCAGCACTCTGTCCACACAACCACCAACATCACAGACGGCCACCTTGCCTTTTACGTCTGACTCCTGATAACGTGCCTGAAGCACAAAACTCAGCTCATGAAGATTTGGATCCAGGATATACGACAGGAAACGCAGTAGGAGGAAAGCCTTTTGGCTGGTGGATGGACTCTCCGTAGAATTGAGCTTCCTCGTCCAGAGTCACGGTTGTTCGAAATTTTCTATTTATTGTGCTTGCACCGATTGTCAGAATCTAGGGCACCTCGCTGGAGAGTGTTGCAGGCGACGGGCTGCTAATCCCTGTAGCGCTGACAACGAGGATGCCTTTCTGAGTTGCTCCGAATGTGTTAGTCTAAGTGTAGACCCAAAGTTGAAGCCAAAGCTGGAATCAGGAAGCTAGATGAAGCAAAACGAAGGAAACAGGAAAACTGCAGTACGATCGACCGCGGTGGTCTCGGCGGTCGACTACGAACGTGCACGAGACAGGAAAAAGTCTCTGGACTTTTTCCGGTCGACCGCGGCGGTTGGTGCGGTCGACCGCGCCTGGACTCTGGAGCTAAGTAAGTCTCTGGACTTTTTTCGGTCGACCGCGGCAGAAGGTCCGGTCGACCGTGAAAACCATGTAAGCGCAGTCTGGGTTCTGTCGTTTATCCAGTTGACCGCGACTGGTTCGGCGGTCGACCGCGAGTCGAGCTGGTAGTTTCCTAAACTGTTTTGGATTCTGTTTTGATTCAGATTGATATAATTACCCAAACGTTTTTAGGGTTTATTAGACCATCAGAAACTATCTGAAAGTGAGTTTTTAGAGAGAGAAAATCTCAGAGAGATTAAACCCTAGTTTGAGTGCTTGTATTCCTTCTTCAATTAATCAAAGAATTATATGGTGTAGCTTTCGAGGACGTAGGCACGTTGCCGAACCTCGTTAAATCTGTGTGTTCATCTCTTTTACTATTCCTACAAGTTTTGATCTTTATTTGTAGTGAATTTCTTTCTTGCTCAACTTTCTAACAAGGTCCGGAAGGGTAAGGGTTTGATTTGACTGTTTCGAATCCCTAAAAACTGGTATCAGAGATTCATTCAGCAATTTATGAGAAAGCCATGGTAGAGAAAATCAAATTTAAGATCGAGAAGTTTGATGGTTCAGACTTTGCCTACTGAAAGTCACAGATGGAGGACTATCTTTACCAGAAGGACTTGTATCGCCCGTTGATGGGTAAGGATAATGAACAGAAGAAA